GTCACTACAATTGCCTTGATTAATGCACTGGTGTTGGCTTATCTGAGTAGAGATGTTCCATTCATCCTGAATATACCTGCCAGCAACTGTGAAATCAAATTAATACTATTGCAAATACAAGATGGTACAGAGATGTTATTGCATGCATGAGTCAAAAACACAAGCATCTACCATTGCTGTACAATGAAGAAAGTATTGTTTTTTCAACTAGTGGTATGATTGAGTTAATCAGGCATTACTGAAGTGGTTGATGAACTTTAAGGAACCAGAAAAAATGACTGCATACTAGTTCATAAAATTGATGGAGTACAACAGTACTGTTGAACAATGATTATCAGGGCTTGATTTTAAGGAAACTTCCAGGATTTTTTTGGACAACTTGACCTGTATCAGAGGTTGTCTGGTAAGCTGTATAGGTTGTCTGAAAAAACAAAACAAAAAGCATAGACCCTAAAAAAAAAATCCAATTACAACAATATTTATGTACAAGACCCTATAAAATACATCTTTTTTATATCTTATTTATTTCCAAAAAGTACAGTTAATGTTTAGTTGGCAATTTTGCACCTTTATTCAACTAATCTTTGATGCCATATTTCTCAGGAAATTTCATTACATTTGAAAAGAATAAGCCCAAATCATGCTAATGTTACATAGTATCTTAAGGAAACAGTCAATGACCTGTAAAACTTTTAAATAGAACAGCAATCTTGGCCAATCTCATTCAATGTTTTCATTCTAACCAGCTTGGCCTGCCTGCCCACCAAGTACAGTAAAGTACAGTCTGTAGTAAGACTAGACTTGTATCAAAACTCTCACATGTACTTCTATTACCGTACTATAATACATACACAAAGCCTGAGCACTGCACATGTACACATACACACACACATACTGCTGATATGTATTGTCATTCATACTTGTAGTTTGTATTGACCTCGAGAGAAAGGCAAAGCAAGCTACATTTTATTTATTGTTATTCCATTTCATACTGATCAAAACCTTTCATAAAATTTCATTTGACAGTTATCATTATTATGGTCTGTTTAATCCATGGATATTCCCGCATTTCTCATGGTAGCTAGGCCTTCTGTATTTTCTAGACTTGATTGTTTGTGTCTGTCTAATGTTAGCCTTAGGCCAATATGTGCATAATCAAAAATGTGTCAATGTTTCAATTATGAGTTATATTTTGTAAATTTGAAGGTTTATAGGGAAGAAGTTGAGACAACCATGTTAGATTTATTGTCATAATTATCTAAAGTAGAAATTAATCTCACTAAATATTCATA